TTGGTCGTCGCTTGACTGTCTGACCTTGTCCTGGTAGCGGCAGCCTCGTAGTCTGAGAGTGCATCGCTACAACGTCTCTGGTCGTGTCGAGAAGCCACCAGGCTGGGCGAGTTCGTCACGTTCTCCGAGGCCTGCATCGGTAGCTGGTTGCTGCTGAAAGGAGCGAATTGAGTGATGTACCGACACGCGACAGACGCGCACAACATCCCGTTGGACGTAATTGCCCCGGAGTAATAAAATACGTTGTGAAGCTGAAAGGACCGGAGAAGCCAAAACGGGTCACAAGTTCCGAAGCGCTATATATCCAGGTAGGCCCGCTCTACTCGTCAGAGCTGCGAGTAGCCGAGATCATCCTTCTAAGGTTAAAACTTTTGAAGTGTCTGAGGCCGGAAGCTGGTGGGAAGCGCCAAACACAAGTCGGGGAGCACATCTTGGACTCCATGGCTGGGGACTAGGGGAGGGAATCTTCCCGTTGGGCGCCAAATGTAGGGGCTTCGGAGCAGTGTATAGCCCGAGAACACCTCAGAGAAGAAGTGGAGACTGACGCCAACCAGGTTTACTTATCGAAAGCCGGGCTGCAACTTCCCGATGCCAGTGGCAGTGGCTGCCGCGTGCCACAAGTGCGCCGTTGATCGTCGTCGTCCTCTTCTACATACAATGGGCACGCTCGCAGCCGCTGCTCCGATAGGTTCTACTCTATCCTTTTTTGCCATGTTTGCACGCTGAAAGAAATGACAGCTTATTCATGTAGTGAATGATGATGAGTGGGGTGAAGCGTTCATCCGTCTGTCCATCCGTCCGTGCATGCGTCCGTTCACGTTCGGAAATGCAGGCTAATGATCCGCCCCACCAATGATCCGCCACGTACAGTGACTATCCAGCAGAGCGAGAGACACTAATTCTCCGCGTACCCATGGGCACAACCCGCGCAACAGCCAGTTGAAGAGTAGTGGCTCAGAGCCATCTAAAACATCTTCACTTAACTGCAATTTTTATGTACTTCTATGCGACAGCGCCGTTTATTATATTGTTCGGGAGATACTGCCTTCTTTTCTTTTTCGTCTCTTTTCTCTCAGTTACGTGTGACGCATTACAAAGTTAAACTGATTGATTGATTGATTTGTGGGGTTTAACGTCCCAAAACGACCATATGATTATGAGAGACGCCGTAGTGAAGGGCTCCGGAAATTTTGACCACCTGGGGTTCCTTAACGTGCACCCAAATCTAAGCACACGGGCCTACAACATTACAAAGTTAAACTAAAAAGAACTTCGCCCCTGAGGCTTGCCAAGATGTTTCACCAGAAATGTCAAGCTATGCGCGACTGATGTAGCGCCGGTGCAGTGAAGGCATGACGTTGTTGTAGATGAGAGGAGCCCTCCTTGCGGAGAAAAAGCTTGCGGGGGTCAAGCGAATAATAAAACCTCTGAATATTGTGCAGTAGACGTTATTCGAGTGGGACTAGATTTATAAGGTCATCGACTGGATTTCGTGCGTCCATGTTGTCGATCAGTGCACTGGTAGATATCTCGAGCTAGAAGTGGCGGTTTTTTCACTCCGTATATTGTTGATCGTCTCCGTACGATTGCCTATTCACGCTGTTATTGTACGAGTCATGGTCCGTGTCAACCCAGTTAAAAGGCCTATTTCCCTTGGTTCTCGAATCTCAAATGATGGACATTTCAAATGAACAAAGTTATGTGTTTGAAAGCCAGTGCGACTTTAATTCGATGGATGTACATCTAGATGCTTCTATTCGTCCTCATGCTTCTCTACAGCGAATGATGGGCGTTAATGTCACCCATCAGTGAGGCGGTCATACGTGAAGAAGCGAATTAAAGGTTCTCTGACGTGTCTATACCGTCTTCTCTGCTTTATTTAGGCAATAGACGTAAAATGAGAGGCATAGTAAAGTTTATTCTATTCTCTGGTCACTCGTTTTCTACAGGGTTTTCCTTGAAGTTTGCCTGGGCCAGATTCACAGGTATTTCTAACACCGTAATCACGCAGATAGTTAAGAGAAAGAAGCAGCACCGCTCAGAAGTTACCAATGTCGCCCATTGGCGGTGATGAATGCGCTTGCACACTCTCTTTAGTCACTGCCTTTATGGTCCAAGTAGCGCCAATCCTCGTGAACTCATTGTTTTTTGGACTTGAAATACAGCACCGACCATTGGCTCAGTTGGTTTTTTAACGACGTCTTCTTCAACGTATTTGAAGATGCACTAAAATAGTCCCACGTTAAAAGGAAGCCACACGATGGGCCTTCTGACCGATGGGTGAGCTGTGCCGGTATTTGTTCAGTGAGGAGATTGGGAAGATGGTAAATGAAGCGGTGCGATATAATGTGTCGCGTCGAATTCAGCTACGTGCCGAGAAAGCACCTGTGCAATTTTTCCACGTAGATGTCCACAGAGTATCTCGCTGAGCCTGCCTGGCACTACCTCTTATTAAGAGACGAATATCGCAAGGACATCAAAGTAGTGGTCCCCTGTTCCTGCCCCCATTGACGATCATGGAATTAAATGACAAGCTTATTTCGCATCTCATACTATCTAAACCTGAGGGTTGCGATTGCTCCGAAGTGACAGACCTGGTGACCCCACCACTGGTCAATACCACGCAACCTGCGGAAGTGGCACCTGCTCTGAGTGTATTCATATTTTACACGCGATATGTTTCTGCAGCCTCTTAACAAAAACCACCGGGTGGCTCGCGGTGCGCTGGACAAAAAAGACATCGGCAAATTAGCCCTTGTCATTCACAGGATCGTGACAGCGACATGAGCCCGTCAGCTCACGCCATACAGTCGAACAAAACTTCAGTCACATCTCGCAACGTCTGGACGGAGTTTTCAACTTTCGCGAGGTGATTGCGCACATCACCAGCACGATGGTGATAGTTCCATCGAACACTACACATGAAAGTATTACGCTCGGCAAGTTTACAGAATGTGTAAGAAACAAAATTACCGGCTGCCCACAGTGCGACCCTGAGGTGATGTCTCCTTTGAGTATTTTCCCCTTACAGACAGTGGTCAGTGCGCCTAGTCTTACGCTGACAAAAGTGCAGAGACAAGCGTTACTCCTGCATCGTCAGGTGACCGGAAGCACCCGAGCTCATCTCTGAGCACACAGTCAAGACCACAAGTATTGCTACTTGCAAATCACTGTCTCGCCAGCTAGACCATATTGGGACATTTTGTTGAGTTGTGATTACTACTGAAACCTTCAGGTGCTGGCACCATTCTCTTTCTTCATTCTAGTGAGCTGGTTGTAATGCGCCGCCCACGTCTATGTTATTATATGCCAAAAGCAACAGAATAACGACAGACGCTCTAGCAAGTCACCTGCCGCAGAGCCTATCCTCGGAGTCAAACCATCATCAGCAGTGTACTGATTGATTGATTTGTGGGGTTTAACGTCCCAAAACTACTATATGATTATGAGAGACGCCGTAGTGGAGGGCTCCGAAAATTCAGACCACCTGGGGTTCTTTAACGTGCACCCAAATCTGAGCACACGGGCCTACAACATTTCCGCCTCCATCGAAAATGCAGCCGCCACAGCCGGGATTCGAAACCGCAATTTGCGGGCCAGCAGTCAAGTACCTTAGCGTCAGCAGTGCACGAGATGAATACAGTCGCACATTAACAACAGGATTTATTAAATGGAAATCTGCACGTTTATATAAGTTAGCTGCGCAGCCACATCGTGAGCACATATATAGTATAAAAGGAAGAGAAAAAGTAAACAACTCCCCCAAAAATGAAACTCAGCTCTCTGGTAGTGTCACACACTCCTCACCCGCTTTTCTGATAAAAATAAAGACATCTAACATTTCACTAGGTATTTTCACCTACTTCTGCCTAATAATTTTGCAAACCAGGAACGTGGTTACAAACGCGAGCACACGATTAAGGGGTCAAGGAGACTACTTCTCTTCTTGGTAATGAGATTTGTTTCCTGCTCCCTCAGTTGGCCATTGAGCAGAGCCTTGTAAGTATGGAAGCCATATACTTCTATGCAGGACAGGGCAATTCCGGACACGAGGTTATTGGAACAATCAACAAAAAGTTTTCTCGAATCTTCCGGCAGCCTTCATTTTTCTGAGCACAGGGGGTGCTATGGCTCTGCTGAGCGAGGTTCTTCATGACCGAGAAAACCAACAGCCCGTTAAACTGAGTATCTACCTCTTTCAAGCTACGTGTAACCTCCTGAATGTACGGAACCACTTCTGACCTCTAGCTAAGCACGCGGCACTTCAAGCCATTTTCATGGCCACCATACTCAACATTCTTCATAATCGTCTTTGATACAGATGTGACAGCTTACCAAGAAAAGCGGGCTGAAAAAAGTCTCTCCAATTTTAGAAAAACTATCACGCCTATTGTGTATGCTCAACTTCCAAAGTCCAAAATCTATTCGAAGTGTTGTGGTGCCTCTTTATTGTTTTCTAGTGAGTCGTTGTGGATGCAAGGAACTTTATTTGTGCACGCAGAAAATATTACCAGCACATCTGACACACTCTGAACTTCACAGAAAGTCTACCAACGGAAGCACACCTTTTTGCGGTCGTTAAAATGTAAACATTAGCCCATTACCATGACTTTTAAAGTAGCCTAGTTCACTTTCAGCACACGCTATCAGGAAGTACCCCTTTCCGAAAAGAAATTAACGAATCATCCACCCAACTAAAAACATTAAGGACCTTGTCGGTGTTAGTGCAGTAAAATTATGATGTGCCGGGTCACTTAAAGGTGAAAAAAAGATATAAAAAGATAAAAGCGCAATACAGAACAAAAATGCAGGCATTTCCTTTTGAAGATAGTAGCGGTCGTTAATCTTCATAAAAGTGCTATGAAGGCAATAATAAAAAAATTACTCTACAGGCATGCCAACAGCAATTTGAAAAGCAATCACACCACTTGCCTCACTGACATGTAACCCACTTCCCCCTCCAGCAGAGCAGCATGCAAATTCCCTGGGTATTCACCTACCTGTCAGGGTTGAAGACATCAGGTTCTACAAAATATTTTTCGTCATGTTGCATGGCGAAAATAGGAATTCGGATGAAGGTTCCTTTATCAATAGCTATGTTTCCTAACACGGTGCTCTCGACGCACGTTCTGTATGTCCTGCGAAGAAGCAATGCGGGAGACAATCATTCAATCTCGTACTTTATAACCTTCCTATAAGATCTCTTTTAAGTGAAAACAAACCAACTAAAAGCAATTGTTGAGTCTACTACTCACAACAGTACACGAGACATCTGGTATACAGACTGGCTGCGCCACCGTCCACCAGAACAAACATAACATTGACAGGCCCACGCTGGTGCTGTTTTATCACGTAAAGCGACCGACGAAATGTGCCACAGAGAAATATTTTGTCCACTGCGGTTGATAATTTAGGGTCAGAGGGCACCATGCCTCGTGTTTTATTCACAATTCGAAATAGGAAGGAACACACACGCCCACACACACAAACAAATAATACCCGGCACATAACACAAGCGCGAGCAAGAAAACTGTATGTTTGATGGAAACAAGGCGCATATATACAAGATGAGGGAAATAAATAAAGCGAAAGCATGTGCAAAGCACACAACAAGAAAACAATAATCTGCGCCACAAACTTTGTGGGCATGAAATAGCTGGAGTCCGAATTAATTTATGCACCGGTCATGGCGGTATAGGAGCTAAAGCACTGGGCTGCTGACCCACAGGCCGCTGCAGCGAATCTATGCCGCGGCGGCCGCATTCTCGATAGTGCCGAAATTTTTCATGGCTGTGTGCCCAAATGGTCGAAATTTCAAGAGCCCCCCCCCCCCCTCAACCTCTCTCGAATATATGGTGATTTGGAAGGTTGAACTCCAACAGTTATGTTCACTGAATCAATCCACGATATTTGAAAAAAAAAGAAATCCAGAAATACATAGAGGAAAACCAGGAATGCTATTAACGAATGTTATGACGAGGCAGTCGGACCCATGCAAATCGAAGTCGCATGAAAACCGCAATTAGTTCGATATATTGTTCCATGGACGAAAATATAACGAATTCGCTCTCAGAATAAAAGTCTTTGCAAGCAAGATTGATTGTAAGGGTTCATTTAAAATCAACGCGGTTTAGGCACATGCAATTGAGTAAGACAGAATGACAGTGCCCGTCTTTGCGTGTCCTCTTCTTCATGTTTAAAGCAGTGCCGCGTTGTGTTTAAAATAAATTGTCTGCCTTTTGGGGGTGAAAATTCCTATGCCAGGGATCATCCGTCCGCGATGTATGCATGTATGCATGCATGTATGTATGCATGCATGTGTGCATGTATGTATGCATGTATGCATGCATGTGTGCATGTATGTATGCATGTATGCATGCATGTGTGCATGTATGTATGCATGTTTGCATACATGTGTGCATGTATGTATGCATGTTTGCATACATGTGTGCATGTATGTATGCTTGTTTGCATACATGTGTGCATGTGTTCATGTATGGATACACGTGTGCATGTATGTATGTATGTATGTATGTATGTATGTATGTATGTATGTATGTATGTATGTATGTATGTATGTATGTATGTATGTATGTATGTATGTATGTATGTGTGCATGTATGTGTGCATGTATGTGTGCATGTATGTGTGCATGTATGTATGTATGTATGTATGTATGTATGTATGTATGTATGTATGTATGTATGTACGTAGGTATGTATGTGTGTATGTATGTATGTACGTACGTAGGTATTTATGTGTGTTTGTATGTATGTATGTAGGTAGGTAGGTAGGTAGGTAGGTAGGTATGTAGGTAGGTAGGTAGGTAGGTAGGTAGGTAGTAGGTAGCCACCTTGATGGCCGGACTAGAGTGGCACGCGCGTACCCTTTAAAATTTAGAAAGAAACTCGCGCACGTTAATCGTAAATAAAAAGATAGTCGTTTCTAATGAAATATCGTACACAGCGAGTGTTGCTCACTTAATCTCCAATAAAACTAGCCTTGACTTGGATGCCTACTAAAAAAGCTAGTATCAGAAGGATGCATTCGAGCAGTATCTGACCAGAAAGGGTTGCCACGTTAAACTCGCTGGAGTAGCCTTCTTGGTTTCAGCACGGATTAGCGAAGGCTTGGGCTGCAGTGCCATGAACTAGAGGCGTTAGGTGAAAGGATGGGAAGCAGAAACGAAGCGCAGGCTGTAAGAAAGTGAGCGAATGCCACATCTTGTTTATTCCTTGGAAGGTACGCTGGATGGCAGTATTTTTGCATGCTAAATATATGGTGAAAGGTGCGAGATGGCGGTGTTTGAAGTGTGCTCCAGATGGAAGGACTGATGGATGGATGGACTGACAGACAGATGCACGAATGGACGCACAAATGAATGGAAATATGGACAGATGTATGGATGAACGGACGCAAGCACGGATGCATGAACGGGCTGACGGACGAACGAATGTAAGCTAGAATGAACAGATGGACGGACACTTCACCCCACTCATCATCACGCACTCCGTGAATATGCTGTGATTTTGTAACGCACACTTCAAAGCGCAAGTTGGTTTCGATAACGCGAGCGCGGTGGTTTCAAGGTAACGCAAAAGCATTTTTTTCTTGTTTGCACGTTCTTTCACAGGTATGCCGACTGCTAGCTATAGACAGAGGCGAGTCATGTGCAGAAATTGACGATACAAAAGCTATTAGCGCCTCAATATCTTGATACGGTGCTTTGCGCCGTCTTCGGGCGGTGGACTCCAGTATCGATTAAGTCCTAATCAGCTTAATGCCGTGCTAGGCGTGCTTCCTGGGATGCTATCCGCAATGACTGTCGTACCACCAAACAATTCAGGAGCGTCCCGTCAAGCACGGTTAGTAGACAGACGCCCTATTGTTCGACTCATTGTTAACGCACTAGCAAGAAACAAAACCCTACCACTTTGCATGTTTCCTGCATCAGCGAACAAACCGGTCCCTAAGTGACACGATAGACTTTTCTCCTTTTTGCGAGACGCAGTTTTCGTGAAAATACATGGCAACTCGCAGTTTCGATCATAGCGCACACAGTACACAGTATTCATGAGGTTTACACGTATACCCATGTAGGTTAGTACCCTGTAACGTCTTATATTTCCAGGAAAAATTTCTCGATTATGGCGAAGTTGAATGAAAGGTAACCTAACTGCACACCATCGGCGTATTTGCAATGGGACATATTGCGTAGGATGCAAGAAAGCAAGGTGCTCAATTATAAATTAAACAGAGCCAAATTTAGGATGCAACTTTGCGGCACTCCAGTCTCCTGAACAAATGTTCGGGCCAAGACATTCCCCACTTGGACACAGAAAGTGCTATTCGACAAATAACTATGGGTTATGTTCAGCATGGTACCACGGTCACTTATGCGTGAGAGGTCTCGCAGAATGCCAAAGCGTCATGTGGTGTAGTAATCCCTTTACACATCGACGAACACAAAGGAAGAATTGTTTGTGGACGAAAGCACCTCGGATGTTGGCCTCGATGCGTACCAGATAATCAAAGGTTTATCTACCTTCTCTAAAACTACACCGGTACTTTTTAAGAACACTGTTTGTTTTAAAGAAGGGCATTGGTCCGCGATTTATCTTCTTTTCGAAAAGTTTACTTAGACAGCTGGTCAGTATGATGAGCCTGTTATTGGTCATCGTGATTCCTGTACCAGGATACAAATGACCTTTTTTCGAGTGGAAAAGATGTCGCTTGAAAACCAGACGGCTTTGTAAAGGGAAAGTACAGTATTTGGCGTTGGAAGTGGTAGGCATTTTAACATTTCATAGACCAAATGGTCGGTTCCCGGGGTGAAATTTATGCAATAGTTTAGAGATAAAGGATAAAATCTTGCTATATGCCTCGTATTTTATTATTTGGTCTGTAGTTTGTTTCTCCACTCTTATCTTATACCGTTGGAATCTTGAGAGCAGTGGGACGAGCTAGAAACCTGCTCGAAGGGCGCTCCTATAGGTGGTTTCCCGGGGTCTTCCACGCTGTCGCCTTCTGTGTCCACCAGAAGAATTGATTATGCTTGTTTACTTTCTGCCCTTGTAACCCTGTTTCAGACCTTACCCTCACCTGTATATGAAGTAACGCCTCCTGGGAATTTTACCACCTTTTCCTTCTCTGAAGTGAGATGTGGAAGCGGGCTAGTTGGTACACTTGCCAGTGAAATGAAAGGAACCCCGAGCGAAAGTGAAGTCAGGTGTAGTGGAGCTCTCGAGACAGTTCCCGCTTGAATAGAAGCGTAAGGAAGGTAAAGAAGGGTGATACGCAAGACAGTGCAGAAGGTGGCCAGGTTTGAGTGTCCTAGGGTAGCCCCAGAGGCTGTGAGGAGCGTTGCAGTCCACCCAAGGAGCACATGAGTGGTCAACAGAAAGAAGTAGAGGAATTTGCCAAGAGCATTGAACAAAGAAGATGTGACAGGGAGATTGCAAAAAGAAATAAGGTCAGAGAGATTCGAGAACAGGGTTTGTAATAGACCATTCCAAGGAAGCATTTGTGCAGGTAGGGTGAACGTCAGGTGGTTCAACACGAAAGTCGTTGCGCACGTAAATGAACGCAACTTGCGTGTCCGTCGTAGCATGTTAGGTGCGATAGCCCGGAACAATGCGGACCACCCGAATCTCTTGCAGAAAATAAAGTGGGGCAGGAAAGTGCGGGTGAGAAGATACTGGTGGAGACGAGTCTTACTGAGGCGAAATTTGCGGCAGTTCAACTGGAAGATATCTGTATCCTTTGCACGCGCCATCTAAGTCATTTTAGTAGTGAAGGTGCTTGCGCGAGCAAGTTCCTTCTTTTTTTTTTGCTAGGTCAAGCGATTCTTACAGACAGTTAAGCCTAGAAATGAATGATTTCAATTGTATGGATTGGATTTCGAGGGCGATGTGAATCCGCACAATGAAACTTTTTAGTGTATTTTGGCGAGTGTGGTGTGCGGTGGTGTTGGTTTTTAGCATGTCAGAAAATTTGGATACATGGATATCGGAGGTTGAGATTGTGAGTGTAGAGCATTGCTTATTTAGCTCTGTGAGTTGGGAGGTGAGAGTCTATGTGGTGATTTTTAGGGCCTGCGTCGCTGCGTGTATTTTTGTTGTAACTCATCGGAGACGCG